TTCTATCTGGCACAGCCCTACCCTGGTAGGAAAGCAGACCTGATATTGATCTACAGGCCTCCTCTTCACCTCCACACTGTGGCTGGATAGTAGAAGGAAAGGCAGGAGACTGCAGAGCTAATCTCTTTGTCACTCTGCTGTCTTCACCTATCAGCATACTCTCTGCACTGCAACACAGCTGATTGACATCTTGTGCTACTTCTTCCTTCCCCACTCTGAGTTCTGCTGTACAGGAGGTGCAAAAGGTTGATACCAGTTCAGTTTCAGGTACTTACTTTGCTTGCATTTACAAACCTATTTAATGATGTATTAATAAATACAGACCTGCATGAATCTGTGTATTTTATATCTGCCTGGAGTTGAAGTAGATGTAAACCCTAACCGAATAACATTTAGTTTGCTGAAGCACTCTGCTTTTTTTTCCAATCACAACTGAATTTTCAGTTTAAATAAGCTAAATACATTCCAATAGCATCAATGCTGCAGAGAAGGACCATTGGTCTCTGTGTGGAAACAGTGATCTCTCTGCAGAGGTCCCACATGCCTCCTGTTAGATCAAACCTATAACTCTGCAATCAGCAAAGCTGGTGCTCCATATATATTTCTAGTGTTCAGTTGAATTTTTAGTTTGGCAACAGAGTCACTTTAAACAGAGAAGCAAACCTTGTTGTACCAGCAGGGCCATCCCTATAATGAAGCAGCCTGGGCTGTTGCCTCAGGCGACATCTCTTTCGGTCACATGGTCAGAAAGGGGGCGGAACCTGCTGCCCCCTTTCCGGCCAGAGCGTCCCAGGTTGCTAAGAGCCAGGCAGGGGATGTGTAAGGGCTCTGCTGGTGTCCTGCTCTCAGCTCTTAGCAATCAGTGATGTCACTGGTTTCCAGGAACTAAGCAGGACACTCTGGTCCGTTGTCCTGCCCAGCTCATGGCAACCAGCGATGTCAGTGACCTGGGCGGGACGCTGGCCATAGCTGGCCGGAGCACTGTTAGCGTGCACCACCAGCTCCACAACCCGACCCCCCCCGCGCATTTTACCCCCCCCCCTTCCAGGACACCCCTGCTTACCACTGCACTACATTATGTAAAATGTGGACTTATGTCATATCATAGGACTCTGATGAATATATTTTGGAATTAATATTTGGGGCTGTAATATTTACAAAAAAATTGTGTTTTGAAATATTACAGGAATATGTATGTTTTATATTTTTTCCCTCTTGAAAATATATGAAATAAAGATGCATATCCAATGCTACCAAATGAAAGCAGTATCTGATTAAAAAAAGATGTATAACATGTTTAACATGTTTGGAAAAGCTACAAATGTAAAATAGGGTGTACATCTGACAAATCCCTACAACAGAAATTCTGCTCCTGTAGGGAAGGAGGGGGTCCATTGAACTGAGAAGGTTAAAGTGACACTAAACTCAGGAGTTAAATCTTAAAAATGTATTCAAGTACCTTAACAATTAACAAAAAAGTATCTTATTTGTGTATCATTCGGCTGTAGACCCTCAAATCATCTCTGAATTGGTGCTGACACTGTCCTTCCTTCTGGAGGGTGGCTACTTTTGTTCCCCATGGTCCCTGTGTGTGTTGTAAAGTAGCCACCTCTCCAAGCTCACGCCTGTGATGGACTATAATTTCAATACAAATCAGTAAACTAAACATGAGATTATACTTCATCACGGGAGCAAGCTTAGAGTGGTGACTACTTTACAACACACACAGGGACTATGGGGAATAAAAGTAGCCACCCTCTAGAAGGAAGGACAGTGTCACCACCAATTCAGAGATGATTTGAGGATCTACAGCCGAGTGATACACAATAAGCTACATCTTTGTTAATAATAAAGGTATTTGAATGTATTTTTACAATTTAACTCCTGAGTTTAGTGTCACTTTAATGTGCTGCTTTGGTGTAGGTCCTGACATACATTCTATATGTTTTGCTAATCCAGCAACTGGATCTTCATTCGGTAATGCAATTGTGCAATACATACAGGGTGTTTCACAAAAGGGTGAAGAGTTTGGAGAAGGCAGGAGAAGTGCACAATCTAGGACAACATAGCTGAACTGGAAAGTGAGCTGAATTGGAGAATTTTTCCAAATCAGCTATTTTGGCCTAGATTGTTCACTTCTCCTGCCTTCTTCAAACTCTTCACCCTTTTGTGAATAACCCTGTTAGTCTCTTGTGTAGCCAAACCCTTAGACAGCTTTCAGGAAAAATCATTAAATATTATACCTATGTGATCAGATTGTTCCTTACAGGTTAAGGCAATAAAATAAAACACTCATCTGTTTCTGAAGTAGTAAATAAAAGATTTGTCACTGCTTAGTGAATGCACACCAATGTACACCTTGCAGCAGGGCCATTCTGTATGATATGTAAGAAATCTCCCCAAGGCCTTTAAGAGTGAGGAATAAATGATTCATAGTTTGTCAGGCTGCCAGTCTGCAGGTGGATATAGTAGATACTGGTAACAGTAGAGGACAGCGTGTTGCAGCTTGTCAATGTTATTCTTCAGCCTCAGGCATTTCTTTGTTTACTAGTGTTTCAATTACTTGTGCCAATGTGTTGTAGTAATGCTGGCATCGGACCTCAGATAGGGAGGTACCTGTTCTTCATTTTATAATTATGAAATGTGATTTCATCAATATTGCAATCAGGACACCTACAACGTTGATCCTGGAACGGGATTGCAGCCGGTAGGCTAGGAGATGTAAATAGCTCCCTATCATAACATGCATGAATCCACCCAGTGTAGGAATGGAATAAATAGAAGACATAGCCCAGCATGGAATGATGTCCTAAAATTTTAGTATGCTACTAATGAGTGAGGTCACTTTAGGGTTGCCACCTTTTCTTCCAGTGAAACCCGAACACTCAAGCGACGCACAGAATTTTTTTTGGGAGAATGAGTCATGGCTTATTCATATTTAAATAGCGCCGGCCATTCATATGTAAATATCACAGTTGAGACTATTTTCAGTGGGGGGCCAGTAGCCTCTATCTTCATTTTGGTTGCCCCCGTCTGCCTGACATCTTCAGCTCCCATGAAACCCGGATACAACATTCAAAACCCAGACTGTCCGGGTGAATCCTGGACAGGTGGCAACCCTAGGTCACTTGTCAACTGATGGGGAACAGTCAGCCTATTATGGTGCAGGATACAAAGCACTGTCAGCATCTGATTTGTATTTAATTTATATTAAGACAGACAAGTCTATGCAAATGGTTTGATTCTGTTGTAAATTTACACTAAAGTAAAACTGTATATCAGACTCTGGCTCATGAAAATGGTAGAGGATTGTGCTGTAAAATGTCAAAAAGTCTGTAATTGTTAAATGGAAAAATGTTGCCACTTATCATGTTAAATACATAAGCAGCAAAACTGTGTCAATGAAACACACAGAAAGTGCCACATTACCTAGGCCGAAGTCCATGAACCCATTGCACTCCTGACCGCTTAATCCAAAATCGACTGGTGGGTACAGCGGTAGTTGACGGATGGCACAATCACATTCACAAGGTAGAGTTGAGACACCGGCACTCCAACTGCAGCTATAAGGCCTGATGAAGGGGATCCCGTGTGCCCCTGAAACGTTGCACTGGTGTGATATGCCACATTCATGTTAATAAAACACGCTTTATGTCTGCAGTTGGAGTGGCGGTGTCTCATCTCTACATTACCTAGGCCAACACAATCAGCACATAGTAGGCACCGGTTACCTGTATGTATGATTCTTCCTCAGTGTAAGTATCCTGGGTTCTGGGATTGCCCTGGCCATTTTCCAACTCCTCAGCCTTATTAGTAAACAGGAAGGCTGCTGATTCAAGTAGTAATGGGCCAATAGTGAGGGGATGGTGCCAGCCTTCCATCCAATTGATTCAGAAAATCCAAGAGCACTTACACAGCTCTGGATTAGGTAAGTATTTGACAATTTAAAGTAAACCCACAGAGCTGGGAACTCTTCTGATCTTTCCTGTAGACTCCAGCTAATTAACATAATTACTGTGTCAACAGATTGCTGGGAGGTACCTTCACCCTGCCTGCTGCTGGGACAGAAGGAGGTGTGAGCTGTGCTCTGTTTTTCTCCAGGATCACCCTCTGATCAATCAGAGAACACTTGTGGCTACATTATGCAGGACAGTGCTGAAAGTACTGGAATTAGGGGAAGAGAAGGCAGGGAGAGGCACACTGGGGTCCAGTGGCTGCTCTTAAATTTTACTCCCTATGTATGACCCGCTTGTTTCCCATGTATTATCACAATAGCATCTTAGTTGCCCATCTTTAGTCACAATTGCCCGATGAATGCCCATGTTGTCATGATTGCCCATTTCTTGTGCATATATTTCCACCATAGCCATTTGTTTTTTGCACATACAGTATATATCCCATTTTTGACCTTTATTGCCATCATTGCCTGATTGTTACCCACATATTGTCACAATAGCCCATTTTTTGCCCACTTATTGTCACAGACACCAGTTGGCTGTTCAGAAATGATGCAACCATTCTCCTTTCATCTCCATTTCTTAGTAAATGGAGACAGAAATTGTGATTTCACTCCAGGTTCTCTCTTAAAATAAGGAACCCCTGCCAAATATCTAAAGCTAAAACGGTGTAAATTAACCTATGCTCAGACCTCAAGAAGCTGTTTCGAATAACAGAGAAACGTCTTTTTTATATTGCAGAATATTACAATATTACAGAAAAAGTCCGGTCAAATGTAAATATCTAGTACCAGCTAGATCTATGTCCTTGTTTTGACAAATCCTCTTTTTCAAACCTTATACATTGGGCATATCTTAAGTGGCGAAGTGCTGACTGAAAGTTATCAATATGATATATTTATATACAAAAAAAGATCATGATAAAGAGCACTAACTTTTGAGGACATTTCAGCCCACATCTTTAGCACTGGAGATTGAAGATTATATGATAGGAGAAATGGTGCGTGTAAAAAGGAGTCAAATGAATAGACATGAGGAACTCACCTGTGGAAATGTCTGCGGGGTACAATATATTTGCTGTGTTGGAGATTGGGACCAATACATCCTCTGCTCTTTCTCTTGTTGCTGCATAACCAAAGACTGAGGCTTTAGTTTCACATCCGAGCCCAGCTACAAAGAAAAACACACTTTGTAATGTTTTATTTCCATCTCCATTCTAGTGGAAACCAGAGAATGTGGAGGAGCAATTTGAATGTATTTTTCATTTATGTTATAGTTCCAGAAAACGGTGGAAACAGGTTTTATTTTTAAGACCGAGGTTACTAGATTGGTAAAGCTTTTACTGTATTGAAAAATTAGCAAATGTGTGCAAATCATACCCTAAACCTACTGGAGAGAGCCACTTGCTTGCTTTGAAGGCTTGCTTTGAAGCTCTAGTTAGCTTTGTGAGCTGCTTTGTAGCTGTTTAAGCTGTACATTGTTGAAGTAATATATGCCCCTTGATGTCAACTAATTTATTCCCGCTGTATCCTTATTATACATCTTTGACAGTGGTAAAGCCAGATGATATTAACACATGTATTATGTGTAATGGTTAGCAGCAACGCCAAATTTCACAAAGCCCAGCCTTCCCTGCTCTCTGTTGTGACCCACTGCACAGCTAACATTTGTTCTTACAAAAAAATAAGGTAACACGGGCTGATCTAACCTCACCAGGAAAAAAGTGATGAGTATTTGCAGCCAATCAGAGGAATCTTTTTTTTCTTATTATTCCTAAAGTGACACTAAACTCTGGAGTTAAATGTTATACATGCATTCAAATACCTAAACTATAAACAAAAATGTAGCTTGTGTATCACTCAGCTCTAGATCCTCAAATCATCTCTGAATTCATACTGACACTGTCCCTCCTTCTGGAGGGTGGCTACTTTTGTTCCCCATAGTCCCTGTGTGTGTTGTAAAGTAGCCACCGCTCCAAGCTCACTCGTGTGATGGACTACTATCTTAATACAAACTACTACACTAAACACGAGATTGTAGTCCATCACAGGAACAAGCTTGGAGCGGTGGCTACTTTACAACACACACAGGGACCATGAGGAACAAAAGTAGCCACCCTCCAGGAGGCAGGACAGCGTCAATATGAATTCAGAGATGATTTGAGGATCTACAGCCGAGTGATTCACAAATAAGATACATTTTTGTTAATACTGTAGTTAAGGTACTTGAATCCATATTTAAGATTTAACTTCTGAGTTTAGTGTCACTTTAATAGACCAGCTATGGAAAGGTTTCTGGAAATTCCCGGTAAAACAGCAGCATATATTGTATAGTACTTAATGTTATTGTAAGTGTATACACAAGTTCAGTATACAAATTTCATGCAAGGAGATCTCTACTCTAAAACATTTCATGCAAAGAGATCATGCAAAGCTGTGTTAATATGGCAGCTTGAAATGAAGTATGCAATCCGAAAAAGGTTTTAGAACTTTGAAAGCATGCATGCTATTAAAAAATGAGACAGATGCATGTTAGAGCTGGTCTAAATTCAAAAGCAAAAAATGTATATATTGCATATTGCTAACCAGCCCTTAGATGTAGTGGTTGCATTGATTTATTTTTTATTAGGCTTTTTTTCCTTTTATTTTCACCTGATTATCCTGCCATTAACAATTTCTGTCCCTTGATGACAACGCTCACTCATTGTTCAGTATCTAAGGAGGAGCAGCGTTGTCACCTTAGGCTTCTCTCCTGATTTGGATTGCAATCACCTACCCCTTTCATCTACATTACATGAGGGGTGTTTTGTAGTTCACACATAATAGATTGGAAGGCTGATAACATTGTTTGAGATTTCAGTTCAGTGCACAATGAGTTACAAGGATTTCTGGCAGGATTAACAGATATTTTTCTGTACTTGCAGTAAATAGACTTAAAAACAAACTATTGCAGCCACCACATCTAAGGATAATAAGTTGCAATGTAGTACATTTTGTTCTTGAGTTTATACAGGATATGCTTTAAGTACAGATAGATTAGTTCAGAATCACAATCACACAACATTCAACTCACTTTCTTCTATTAATGAGCTGGGTTTTACAATTCAAAGACACTCTAGGCTTCCGTCTTAAGCCCCAAATGTATTGAATGAGGCCCTTAAAAATATAATAAGTTTTGTTGGCCATCTACATTGTTAAGTCAGTCCTACTGCTAAGCCATTTGACATTACAAAAGGGTAAACCCAAAAGGGTTTAAAGTGATTTCAAATGCTGATTAAATCACTTACAATAGTTTGAAAGTTTTATTTTCCTGCAGAACAAGCTTGTGCCCTAAGCACTGGCCCTGATATCCTGTTTTATGGTGGCTCCCTTCCTTTGTAGGGTCCTATGGAGCCATTCTTCTTCTAGTAAACACACAGGCACAGCAAAACAAGGCAATTCCCTGTGGTTTCCTCCCCTCTCCTCCCCCCACCCTTCTCCATTCTAGTAGATAAGCAGTTGGTGGAAACTGTTCTGTCCCTTGTGATCTTGTACTGGGCAGGAAGTTCAGAGAAGCTGAACTGAGAGAGTTGGAGCCAGCTGTTTGGAAACATGATGACTGTAAGTCATATAAAGAAATACTTTGCTGGGGAAGGTATACATGTTTGATCTGGATTTGATACTGAAACCAAGTTTGAGAGTTTATTACTACTTTAAGGGCTTCTATTGTGATAGCAGTTCAGCGCCAATGCTTTTTAAATGCATTCTGGGGTGCTTCCATGCACCTCTCACTTTAATGGACTCCATCAGACCGAGATGGAATGCTATCACAATGGTTTCATAATATTATGCAAAGGTGGTAACTAAGGAGTTGGCCAGATTTCTTGTCCTAATAAATTCATCCCAGTACACACAGTCAGACCCAAGCACACCAGAGCAAGAGCCCTTCATACCTGCCCCTAAAGATGCGGAAACATCTTCATATATCCACCAGCAGAATCCAAAGCCAGCTGACATAAAGCAATAAAAGAGTTTTATATGGAGTCACACATTAAAAAAGACCAACCTCAAGGAACAATACTCAAGTAATCCTATTATACTGCATAGTTAGTAGTGAAACTCCAGGCACATAGCCAAATAAACAGTTTAAATACATATATGTGACCATACAGCCAGTCTGAACCAGTGTAGACCCAGGTCTGTGATTGGACAATGAAGGTAGACAAGCACATTGATGATGTCATCACTGTGCTCCAATGCCCTGTAAACATACCTGTGCAAAGGGTCAAGGTACTATGCCTCCATATCCTTAGAGGAGGCTGCTATAAAGACAGATATGGGTACTTATACTTGTTCTTATACATGTAAAGTGTTTTATTTTTTTTATTTTACCTAGTATATAGCTGTAAACCCTCAAAGTGCAGATCAACAGAATACCAAAATACATTCAATAAATTAAGTGAGCATTAATAACTGACCAGTACATCTTGTCTTAAGAATAAAGTTTATAAGTAGAAAAACAGTATTATATGTTCACCATTCATTTTTAGGGCCTGTTCAAACGACGTCCGTTTTCTGTGCTGACCTGATCCGTATGCTCCTGCACTAAAAATGCATCCCAATGTATCCCTATGTGTTTTATGGGCTACAGTTCTCACGTGTGCAGTCTGTTTAGGTTACGACAGAAAAATACTGCATGTCACATTTTGTACGGTCAAAACGCACTGCATCAGTAGCACCGCATCTGCAGATCCGCACCTGATCAGGACCTGATGAGGACCTGATATCATGTGAACAGGACCATAGAATTTCATAGCAATTTACGCGGTAATGTAGTAAAGACTTTAGTTACTAGGCCTGACATCAGGTATTTGATGTACATAGGTGGTTTTAGGTATAGGATTTTTAAAGCGTAAAAAATGCAAAGATCTCTATCATACAATGACCTACCTTGGCCAATTAAAAATCAGTCCTTGTTTTTTTAGTGTTAACATAACTGATCAGTAGTTGGATGCTACAAATAACTACAAATCATTTAGAAGATTATCAAATATACCCCACCAAGAAGTATAAAGCTTTTCCATACACTAAGAGGCACATAACTAAGACCAGCAAATGCGGTGTCCTATTTAATTAGAAGAGAAGTGGAGCTGGAGCTGCAAACCGTACTGAACATACATGGTTTTCATACACCAGAGGGAACTGGCAAAAATAATAAAAAAAATAGAAATATGGTTTATGTCCAGGAACATGTTTAAAAGTGCAAATGTGATTTCTTGGATGACAACTGGCAACCGGGAAAGGACGGGGGAAAAGCCGAATTTTGGAAAAGCCTCTATGCCCCGGTGATGTAAGTCATTAAGTCATACTGTGTTAATATATACTGTATGTACATTTTCAAAATATGTTGATGGGAAATATTAAATGTAGTATAATAATCACCAAATATTATTAAGAGTATATTTGTATCATCTGGTAAAGCACATATAACCAGCAAAAAATATATATATATAATTTTCCATATATGATCAATTTACACTTAAGGAAAAGTTATGTCAATATAAAGACAGGGGTTAAATGTTATAAAGCTAGTTGTCTGACTGTAATGCTGATCATATGCTTGTTATAATTTGAGTGACTGACCTGGAAGAGGACGGGAAGTCATTGTAGTATTAGCACTCCAGATCTACATTCTCATTTCAGGTAGGTGGCTCAGTAAGTGTTAAACATATGGGATTAGCATATTTGCCAGGCAACTGACAATTTCAAAGGTGGGTTATTAATGACAGCTTGCATATTTCTTTCAATACAGATTTTAGTCGGAACAGAACCATCCATATACTGAGGCGGCCTGAGCTGATTGCCTCAAGCAGCATCTTTTTGTGTCACGTGGTCCCTTTCTGGCCAGAGTGCCCCAGGTTAATGGCCATAACACATGGCCATACACATCTCCCCTCCCAGCTCTTAGCAACCTGGGATGCTCTGGCTGGTGTTCCATTTAGCTTCTGCCAACCAGTGACATCACTGGCTGCCAGGAGCTGAGCTGGGTGCTCTGGCTGGCATTCTGCCCAGCTCCTGGATACCAGTGATATCAGTGAGCTAGTCAGGACGCTGGTCAGTGCTGGGCGGTGCACCACCAGGACTCCGGTCAGAGTACCGTTAGCTTGCATTACCAGCAATCCATCAATCCCTACCTTCCCTGACCTGAGTCTGTGATTATGCAAGGGACACCCCTCGGTAGGAATAATAGCATTTGGAGCTAATTAGTAGTTTCCATAACACAAGCTTACTAAATATCCTTTAAAAATAAAAATCTGCAAATCTTACCATCATCTGTGATCCTTCATCATGACTGGAAGTGTACTGTAGATTACTGCACCATGTTGCCTCAACTGATATATCAGGAATGTGGGTTGCAAATGTTTCAGTATCTTCAGGACAAGAAGGTCCACAAACACTGTCAAAGCTATCCATTCCATCCATTCCTTTAAATGGCTTCTCCCCAAGAGACAGAGAATTCAGACTATCAGGGAACACGTCACTGAACTGCCTTTTGTAAGGGTGGAATTGATGTTTTCCTTTGCCAAACTTCCCATAGCTGTTTTCAGTGGACTCATCACAACTATATCTCCTGTATTCTTCGCTGGGAGAAGCTTTGCTTGGGAATCTCATGGGGATGTGATCCTGGGGTGATAAAGAGAGATCAGGGCTCATGGAGGAATCCGAGCTCTTCCTTTCAGGCTGACTGTCAGAGTCATGTGTTTGCCCTCCATAGTTGTCCTGAAATAGTCAAACCTTTCATTAATGAACTCGAAAACAAAACAATAAGTATAGCCATAAACCATATAGGCCTTGTGCACGGTACACACATGGCAACTGTCTATTATTTTCAAACTGCTTTTGATTAATTGTCTTTGATTGCATAATTGATAAAAGGGATGATTGCAGCCTTCCGTTATCTCACCATCTAACATACTGTAAATAATTAAAAATTGTTGATGGTCGGTTGCCTGTATCTGTTTGTTCATCTGGTTGAAATTGGTTGATTTACACCATGAAAATTGTCATATGTATGGCTAGCATAAAGTTAGGGTATCAAAAGAGCAGACGTTGCCCTATTTTATTGACTGATGATGATATGAATGAAGACTGAATGATATGTTTATCTTTAAAGGATTATAAACTTACCTGGAAGACTTATTTGGGTAGAATATAGGGAGTTGATACATTGCCGGGAACTTTATATGTCTAGTTGATTCCCGAAACCTAAGTACAGGTAGGTCTTACAGTATTCTAGCTATAAAAATTGTATGTCTTTGTTCTAGGTATCAAGTATTCTAGCTATACATATTCTTTGTCCCTCTTCTAGGTATCAATACCGTAAACATAAAGATTAAATAGGATCCCACACTGTTTTTGGCTAAACTCACCAGCTTTTATTAGAAATCCATGTGCGGACAAACAGACAATACCAACAGCCACCAATGACTGTTTCATGTGTTAAACATTCTTCCTCTGGGTAGTGGATCCCACTACCTGGAAGAGTGGAGAACTGCATTTCATCTTTCTATTACTGTTTTTGTTTTTTCTTTTATCATGGAATGCTGATATTGCATCAGTCCCTACACCCATCAGTGAAAATGTATGCATTAGACAAAAGTCAATGAATTTTTGGACAGCTGCTCGCTTAAAGCAAGCATTCATCCAAGAGCATCCAGAATATGTGAAGTAAGCAACACGTGTATTTTTATTACTTGCTTGATTTTATGTGTCAATACTGTGCTCATACATTTACTATACTAATGAATGGACAGTGCATTAGG